GGTTTAGGGTTTGGGGTTTAGGGTTTGGGGTTTGGGGTTTGGGGTTTTGGCCGTGTTTCTCTCAGGGTTTAGGGTTTAAGGTTCGGGTTTAAGGTTTAGGGTTTAGGATTTAGACCCTTCACCCCAAATCTCCAGAACCCTGACGTGAAGGAAGCTTGATGGCTGCTCATGCAGTCCACAAAGTGAGGATGTATGGTTTAGAGCTTCGAGTCTAATTTTTGGACCCTTCTTGGTACCGAGAACAATAAGGGTTCGCAAAAAAATCGATCATGATGATCAGCACTTATAAGCTTGATTACCACACATACCCAAGTAGTGAGTGAAACCACGATCCTCGAAGTGGGCAATGGAAGGAAGTTGCCGCAACTTTCATGCAGCGTTCGCCCACGCCGCGCTCGCAGCAGCAAGCGGAAAACGCGGCCGCCTTCTGCTCAAGCATGGCTCCCTGCAACTTTAGGTGCTCTGAACCCTAAACCCTAAGCCCTAAACCCTGAACCCTAAACCCTGCAACTTCGCGAAGGCGCCGCCGCTGTCCGCTTGTCTGGGTAGTTCTGCAGGAGCAGCCCGATGGCTCTTGCACTCCTTGTAGCTCATTTGAAGACATGCTTCCGAAGGAAACTATAGACATAAGGAACCAAGAACTAGAACAACGCTGGGCACCAAACCCAAAAGCCCTAACCCTAAACCCTGAACCTCAAACCCTAACCCTAAAACCCCGAACTTAGAACCCTAAACCCAGAACCCTAACCCCAAAACCCTAACTTCTAACCCAGCGGTACCTCACGCCACGCAGCCTTTGTCTTCTCCGTGGCGTTATTACTGTCCTCCGGCAAGCGAGCTCAGGGTTTAGGGTTTAGGGTTTAGGGTTTAGGGTTTAGGGTTTAGGGTTTAGGGTTTAGGGTTTAGGGTTTAGGGTTAAGGGTTTAGGGTTTAGGGTTTAGGGTTTAGGGTTTAGGGTTTATAGGGTTTTAGGTGCATATAGGGTTCAAGGTGCATAGAGGGGTATCCGAAATTCGGGTACCTTATTGGGGTCCTTATTCGGGGATCCTACTCCGACATTAGGGGTACCTTCTGGGGGTCCTTCTTTAAAGGGGATCCTACCATTTGGGAGTCTATATTGGGGATCCCCTATTTTCGCAAACCCCCATCTGCAGTATAGACATATATCATAGGTACGCAGCGACCGGCAGTCGAAAAAACAAAGGCTGGTGATGTCTTGCAAGCCTTTCCAACCATCCGCAAAACAACCACTCTCCAGCGTTTTATAACCAAGCGCGAGGGGAAATTGAATATAGTCAACCCTTAAACCTGAATCCTAAAACCCCCAAACCCTTAACCTTCAACCCCCAAACCTCCAGCCCTTAAACCCTAACCCCCAAACCCCCAAACCCCAAACCCTAAACCTTAAACCCTAAACCCTGAATCCTAAACCCTAAACCCTAAACCCTAAACCTTAAACCCTAAACCCTGAATCCTAAACCCTAAATTCGACACCCGTAACACCCAGGGACTCGTGCGATGGGCGGTCCTTTCTTCCCAAGACGGCCTCGGGACCAGTGTCTGCCTGTGAGGTTTAGGGTTTAGGGTTTAGGGATTAGGGTTTTAGGGTTGGGGGATTAGGGTTTGAGAGGTTTAGGGTTTGGGGATTAGGGTTTTAGGGGTTTAGGGTTTAGGGCTTAGGGGTTGGGGTTTCGGGTTTGAGGGTTCGAGGGCTTGAGGGCTTGAGGGCTTGAGGGCTTGAGGGCTTGAGGGCTTGAGAACTTGAGGGCTTGAGGGCTTGAGGGCTTGAGGGCTTGGGGGCTGAGGCGTTGAGGGCTTTGTAGGGTTCGGGTTTTGCAAGGGGGGGCTCAGGGTTCTGGAGTTCGTGTTTGGGCGCAGGCTCCGGTTTTTGTGGTATCTCCTTATGATCCTTACATAAGTATACTAATGGACCCTTATGGTTCCTATCTTAGTATACGAGAATGACCCCCAAACCCTGTTCTGATTCTTAAGGCCCCTATAGTGCACGAATCTGCTTGGGGGCTCCCTTGCAGGTTCGGACTCCGCAGATCTTGCGGGGTCTGGAGGATGCTCAGGGTTGAGGATTTGGCGCAGGCTTAGGGCTTAGGACTTAGGGCTTAGGACTTAGGGCTTAAGGGCTGAGGGCTTCGGGTCTGCAATGATGTTCCCTTCTCTTGTCTGGTCTAGGAAACCCTAGGGCACTGATTCGTTGACTGAACAGGGCTCATAACTTCGAGACCATCTAGGTCTGAGGCTGAGGGGCTGTAACCCTAAACCCTAAACCCTAAACCCCAGACCCTAGCTTGCAAGAGATGATTTCAAAAAATGTATGTTCATAACTGCTGCTTCCCCAGCGTGCCTTGGTTGGCTCTAGTGGCTCCTGGCGGGTTGGGGGCCCTAGGGTCCAGGGTTGGGTTGAGGGTGTATTGCAAACTTTGCATGACCAGAGACCGTCAAACTTCTGGCCCAGATATTCGAAAACTGTCTGACATTGGGCTTCGGGTTTTCGGCTTAAGGTTGATATAGGGTTTGGGGTTAGGGTTTCGGGCTTAGGGCAACGAAACTCCTTGCAAATTTGGACTTTGGGCCCCTTTGTGGAAAGCCGAAAACCGAGGGTGGCCATGTTCATTTAACAAAGGGTGATCTTAGTATCTTTGGGGGTTCTATCTTTGGGGGTGAAGAAAAATTATGGCACAGTTCTGCGACAGGCCCATCTCGAAGAAGTTCCACCCCTAATCCCCCTAAACCCTAATTACTTCCTAAACCCTAAACCCTCAAGCAGCTTTGCACGAACCCAGGAGCTCCTCATTCTCAGCGTCGCGGTCACGGCTGCGTGACCGCTTGTGCTTGCGCGGCCTTGCTGGTCTTCTAGCTGGGCTTGCACAAGGCTTTTTGAGCTTACGGAAGGAAGCTTACGGGGGTTTACATGGGGGTTTGTAGGGGCTAGGGCTTTGTAGAATCCACCTTCTCCGTCAGTGTCTGTAAACCAGGTGCGTATGCAGTCGTGTTTTCGCTTTGTTGCTATCTCATGCCCAGGGCCCATGAGAGTAAGAGACACCATGCAGTCACAACAATAGGAAGTAGCCTAGGAGCAACTCCCTAACCCAGAGACGTTCCTTCTCGTCAGTTTTTTTCCAAGAAGTTTTCATCACCACAAGAATACAGGCTATACGAGCCATTCATTACTTCGAGGGGGTGGGGGGGAGGGGGATGCCTTGCAGGTGGTTCGGTGTCAAACCCTAAACCCTAAACCCTAAACCCTAAACCCTAAACCCTAAACCCTAAACCCTAAGTGCAAGGGAGCTCCGGCTTAGGAGGCATTGAGGGGGAGGGCGTTCCTCTCAACAGCATCCTGAGGCAGGGCGCCGATCATCGCCGTCGCGGTTCTTCTTCTCCTTCTTGTCCTTCTTCCCTGTAAGGGTGGGCTTTCTTTACCCTGGGAGGGTCCTAAAGAATACCATGTACTACTACTGGGTTTTAGGTTTTGGGTTTCGGGTTTAGGGTTTAGGGTTTAGGGTTTAGGGTTTAGGGTTTAGGGTTTAGGGTTTAGGGTTTAGGGTTTAGGGTTTAGGGTTTAGGGTTTAGGGTTTAGGGTTTAGGGTTTAGGGGGTGTTCGGGGTTCGGAGTTGAGGGTCCGCGCCACCTGGGTTCCTGAATCGGGGATTGTGTGCATAGAGGGTTGAAGGGGCTCAAAGGCTTGGGGCTCAAAGGGCGCGAAGCCTTGGGGATTTTAGGGTTTAAGCTGGGTTTAGGCTCTAGAACTTGGGGGGGGAGGGGGGCGAGTTCCGAGCTGAGTGAAAAAAGGCCACACAGTTCAAGCCGAGATCACACAGAAATGTAAAAAAGAATCCTCGTGCCCTGAGCCCTAAACCCCGAATCCCAAACCCTCAACCCTAAGATCCGAAAATCCTAAAACCCTAAATCCCGCCCCTGATGCTTCGTCTCTCTCACGGAAACGCCCGAGACCCTGTTTACTGGGTCTCAATTCGGTTGAATGAGGGTTTAGGGGGTTAGGTCCCCCATCTGCCCGACAAAGTTCTGTAAGCCTTTAAAGGGGCTATTTAAGGAACCCCCTAAATCCTTGAGCCCTTCAACCCTGTAACCCCATAACCTTGTAACCCTATAAGCCTATAACCCGATGACCCCATCAATCTAAAACCCTATAACCCTACAACCCTAGAACCCTGCAACCCTACAACCCTAAAACCCGAAAACCCTAAACCCCGGCCCTGACCCTAAAACCCTAAACCCCAAACCCTAAACCCTAAACCCTAAACCCTAAATCCTAAAACCCTAAAACCCTAAACCCTAAACCCTAAACCCTAAACCCCTCAACCCCTCAACCCTAAACCCCCACAACCCCAACAAAACCCAAGGCCTTTGTGTCGCTTTTCCTCCCGAGCCGGACTTCGGCCTGTCTCCCGCAGACTTCTGGGAGTCAAGGGCCTTAGGGGTGTAGGGTTTAGGGTTTAGGGTTTAGGGTTTAGGGTCTAGGGTTTAGGGTTTAGGGTTTAGGGTTTAGGGTTTAGGGTTTAGGGTTGAGGGCGTGTTCGGGGGTCGGAGACTCTAGCGAAGGCATAGGGCTTACAGCCCAAACCCGAACCCCGTTCGGCCTTGAGCCCTAAACCCTAAACCCCAAACCCTAAACCCTAAATCCCAACGGAACTCCTGAGCCCTAAACCCCTCAACCCCTCAGCCCTAAACCCAAAAACCCTTAACCCCTCAGCCGTGCAACCGGCAAGTTCCTCAGCCAACGCAAAATTCCGAGACCCGGTGGGTTCAAACTTGCGGGAAGTACGGAAGGTTCTAGAGCATGTTGAAAGCGGTTCTAACGAAACGTGGACGTGACGTACAGCGTTTCCGACTATGCTGGGATTTTCTTTGCACCAACTCACCCGAGATTCGAATTCTGATCCCAGTATCAGGGAATACCAGTGTGCCCCAATTGTGCATTTGCATTTTGATCAGTGCCGATTTGGGCTCAGTATTGCAGAGATCCGTCACGGCCCTCGCGCGATCATCACAAAGTCGTCATTTGCGCCGAAATTTAACTGGAACAACACGCGCCCTTGCGCCTGTTGGTGTTTCACCTCCTCTGTACACTTCTTCGAAATTCCCCGATATAGAACGGTGTTGTCCAGGAACCGAACGAACCATGCACCACCCGATGGAGAAATGGATACATACTCAACCTCGCGCTGGCTTTCTTCCAAGAGGTTGTCAAGAGAACGCGGCAGTCTTTGCCAAAGAGTCGATCCATCCACTCGCCTCAGCCAGTACCCGTTTTCTGGTGCGAAACAGATGGCTTCCAAAGGCTCGCCTTCATGGATAGCATTCCGAAAAGAATTTCCAGACACCGCGAACCAGCTGTTTCTCTGCTGGAATTGGACGAAGTACCGTTCGTTGCTGCCGCAAGCAAACAATGTGGGATTGTTTCCCGCTTTTATCTCAAGCAGTATAGAGTCCCAAAGGCCTTGTGGAATTGATCGCTTCTCGACGGAAAACTTGCCTTCGCAACTAAACAAAGAAGCCCATCCCGATTGGTCGTGGTTGAGCGCTACGCATTGCGAACAACCCGTGGAATTCATGTAGGCGTCCTGCACATCAGCATCCGCGAAGAAACCATACTCGAACGTCTGAACAGTCTCTGGCTCGGTGTCCCCCTGCCATCGCACTCGAGCAGTTGCTCCATTGTTGTTTGTGGTAAATCTTTTCTTTCCAATTTTCTGGTTCGTAGTCTTAACATCGATTTCGCCGAGGCTGCCATCTTTCTCCAGTTCGCGGAACACCCACAGCCGTCGGTTGCCAGTGTATGCAAACCAGCATTCATCAACCTGTGAGATGATCATCTGAGGAATAATCGACACGTCAATCCGTCCAGATCGAAGCTCTTCCAACGTGTCTGTCACCAGCCTACCACAGCTGAACCTACAGCTGATGGAGTCATGGGAGAACCTCACATCTGAGGGGCGGATTCGCATCGTCAAAACTGAGATATATCAGACCATGGATGTCGAATGACGTGTAGAGGTCCCTTACCTTATGAGGGAAGTAGGGACCCTATCTAATCCCTTAAAGACTTAAAGGGTATACATAGTGCCCTAATTCCCTCATTCCCTGCTAACCCTGCTCGAGGGTTGACGATCTCAGCCCGCACCCGAGTGCAACCAGGTGGCCAACTCGAGCCTAGCGACGGATCATGTGTTACCATAATGCTGACTGCTCCAGACATGACCCAATACTGCAGCTGGATACCCCTGATTCTAACAAGGGCTAGGGTACGAAATCGAGTCCGAACCCCCCCCCCTTTCTTTGGTTCCACCCTTCAAGGCAACAGCTGCAGCAACACCGATACGAAGCCTAAACCCGAGCGCCAAAACGCCTCGAACCCAACAATCACGGCAATGCCTTGAGGCCTTAACATAGAAGGAAATTGGGTACCACTGGGAATCCCTCCATCCTAAACCCTAGAAGTGCTTCGGGTTTAAGGAGAAGGGTTGAAGGTTTCGGGTTTCGGGGCAAACCCACCTAAAACCCGAACCCAAAAAACTCCAATCCCAGGAGGTGCGGTCCTCTGGGGCTTGGGGACAGTCTTCGGCGCTTGGTGTCGCCATACCTGCCAAGCTCAGGTGGGCAAAGCCTTCGAAACCTAGAGTGGGAGGCAGCTCGGGTTGCATCGCGACAAAGGTGTAGAGCAGAGGGCCTAGGGTAGAGGGTGTAGGTGTAGAGTTTTGCCACGCTGTAGAGGTTAGCCGCACAGCCTGCTTGCCATGCGCGTTCGCTTTTGACCTGTGTGTACTTACGTCCCTGGATGCCATGAGAGGTTTCCTTCTTCAGCTTGTGTACAATCTGTACCCAAGCTGAATTGCAGGTGCGTGTAACTGAGAAGCTGCTTAGGAAGATGTGCACATGTCTCAGGCTGTTGCACGCCGTTGCTGTTCAGTCGCTGCTTCCTTCCATGCGCACGTGCAAGAGTGTGTGTACTGCCGCTTCGTATGCTCAAAAACATCCCTGCAACATATCACAAACCCCCGCAATCGACTGAAAACCACAATGAAAGCCCCACCACAACAACAACCTGGAAGTAAGCCGGACACTGAAGAACTTCAAAGACAACTCAGCACCTCAAGTCCTACCACATACGCTCTTCCGAATGACCGGTTTTGTTTAGGGTGCAGGTTCTGAGTACAAAGGAGCCGGGAAGCCCTCAGCCGAAAACCCTTCTTGAAGTTTCATGGGCAGCTGTAAGAACTTACAACGAGAGTGTATAGTCAATAGTTACTCACATATCCTCACTTATGTCTACCCACCAACATCCAAGTGAGCCCTCAACCCCCTGCCGCTCTCGTTCCGGGGTTTAGGGTTTAGGGTTTAGGGTTTAGGGTTAGGGTTAGGGTTTAGGGTTTAGGGTTTAGGGTTCAGGGCTACCTAAACCCCTGAGCCGCCGAGCCCAGACATCGTGTGTCGGCAGATCGTTCAGCTGCGACCTGGTGACACTTCTTAAATGTGGTACAGAATCTGGGGGGGGGTTTACGAAAACACGGGGCCCCAAATAGAGACCCCCAAATAGTAGGATTCCCTTATATTAAAAGACCCCAATAAGGTACCCTTACTTTCGGAAACTCCCCATCCTTGTTCTAAAGGGGTTTCGGCTTAGGGGCTGAAGCCCTGATTGCCCAGAGCCTCGCCTGGGTTTCAGCGCGGCCGGACGGAGCAACGTGGGCCCGGGGATAGGAGAGACGAAGATTCAACTTTATGGGGCTTTGGCGCGGCCAGATGCCAAGTAAGCTCTGCTTTTGGCTGAGACTTTTTGTGAAGGAATGATGGCTCTTCTAAGCTGAGAGCGGGTACTTCTTCAAGGCTCTCTTGTTGCACGTCTGGGGGTGTTGCAGATATTGCTGCTTGCAGGTGGGTCTTGGTAGAGCGTGACAAGCTAAGGGACGTGGGGGCAAGACTCGAACAACTCACCTGCCGAACCTAGGGATACGTAAAAGCTCAGGCTGTTTGTGGCGACCGCGACCCCTACGATCTGAGCCTGGGAAGGCGGTGTTTCTGACCATGGTGATTGCTGGGGGTCATTAAGGCATGGGGTTTGGGCAATTTGGGGTCTAGTTTAAAGGGCCCCGGCTTGGGGGATGAGAGGGCCTAAGTTTTAGTTGGGGTTGTGGTGGGTCCTGCGGCTGGGGTTTGGGAGTAGGGTTGATGGCTTAGAAGCTTAGGGCTCTCGGAATGACCTCATTTGTGAGCCTCCGTGCTTCTCTGGCACGAGATCTCGTTTACCCTAAACCCTAAACCCTAAACCCTCAGGAAGCTGAAAGGGGCTCCGGACAAGAAGTGAATGCACACAGCAAGGGCGAGTAATACGACGTAGCCTCTGAATTCGAGTCTTACTCGGTGGGGCACGCTGGACTCCCTTCCGGGGGTCTCTTCTCTACAGGGGTTCGGGTTTTCCAAGTTTGCTGACAACTGCGAGGGAGCCCTTGTTTTGACCTAACCCCCGCATACGCTCAACCCAGAACCAAACTGGCGTTGTTGGAACTAAAAACTTTGGCGAATTCCCTACACTCCTGGCCCCATGGCTTTGTCAGGGAACGGCACCCCCAATTAAACCCGAACAGCCACCCCCTAAGGCCCTAGAGCCCCTAAACCCCAAAACCCCAAAACCCTAAACCCCAAAATCCCCAGCACCCAAAAAAAAAACACCAAACCCTGAACCCCAACATCCCTCAACCCTAAACCCTAAACCCTCAACCCGAAACCCTAAACCCGAAACCCTGAACTTAACCCCAAACTCCCAAGTCCCAAACACCCTTTCGTCGCGTCGTGGCAAGTCGCCGGGGCCCGCAACTTCGCGGGCCCTGCAGCGCAGGCGTGCACCGACTCAAGGGCAGCCCTTGGGGGGTTTGGGGTTTGGGGTTTAGGGTTTAGGGTTTAGGGTTTAGGGCTTAGGGTTTAGGGTTTAGGGCTTAGGGTTTAGGGTTTAGGGTTTTTGGGGGGCTTGGGGGGGATTTGGGTTTTGGGGTTTGCGGTTAAGGGTTTTGGGTGTACTGTTTCGGGGTTCGGGTTCAGCGTTTAGGGTTAGACCTTCAGACCCTCACGCCCACCCAAATCTTCGCCCCCAGAGGTCCCATGAGTCGCGAGGATCGTCGCGTGACAGCGCGCGCGCCTTGCTTAGCGGGCTTGGAGTCGACTCTGCCTTGGGTTTAGGGGTTTAGGGCTTAGGGTTTCGGGTTTCGGGTTTAGGGATTGAGATTGGAGTTTCGGGTTTTGGGGTTTAGGGTGTGGGGAGTTGCGTGTCGGGCTTAGGGTTCAGGGTTTACGCGCTTAGGGGCTTTACCCGGAAACCTAAACCCGAAACCCTGGATCCCAAAACCCTCAACCGCCTCAACCCCAGACTCTTGCGACCTAAACCCCTAAGGCGAACAACGTGGAGCCGAACCTTCACAGGGTCCTTAGGGGAGGGGGTTTCGGGTGTAGGGTTTGGTTTAGGGTTTAGGGTTTAGGGTTTAGGGTTTAGGGTTTAGGGTTTAGGGTTTAGGGTTTAGGGTTTAGGGTTTAGGGTTTAGGGTTTAGGGTTTAGGGTTTAGGGTTATGTAACACCACTATCCCTAAACCCTAAACGCTAAACCCTAAACTCCTTGATGCCTTCGACGCCTAAACCCTCAACCCCAAAATGTCTTAAACCCCAAACCCCAAACCCCAAACCCCCATGAATGAAAAAGGGGCCCTTGTGGTCCAGGTTTTGTAAGGTCCTTCAGGGGAGGGGGTTTGAGGGCCAGAGGCTAGAGGCTAGAGGAAGGTTGAGGGTAAACCCCAAATAACCCCCACTCACACAGCAACATGCCTGTCCTAGAGCTTAGGGTTTCGGGGCCTCTCTGCCAGCAAGGGCGCGCGATGAGAAACCGTCTACATCGCAAGCGGCACGGAGACTTCCACACGGCCCTGTCTTTTGAACCCTGAATCCTAAGACTCGAAACCCTAAACCACCAACCCCTAAACCCTAAACCCTAAACCCTAAACCCTAAACCCTAAACCCTAAACCCTAAAAACCCAACACTAGCCCTTGAGCCCTAGGTCTCCCATCCTAAACCCTCTTTAGAGGGACCTGGGGCTTGGGGGGCTTTTGGAGCCCTGGGCCTACGGAACTCGGGCCGCGCGCGAGAAGCCGGGCATCAACTTTGTGCCACGGCAGTGAGATAATGAAACGCGGCGCGGGTAAGGATTCAGGGTTGGAGTTGTCCTAAGCCCTAAACCCTAAACCTTAAACCCTAAACCCTAACCCCTGTAAAGCCCTCTCTATAGGGTTCAGGGTTAGGGGCTCGAGTTTAGGGAGAGTTGAGGGTTTAGGATGCTAGGGGTGTCTCGGGGACCCGCTTCGTTTACGCCAAGACTTGAAAACAAGCCCGCTTAAAATTCCGCGGACGCCGTGGTGTCAGACAAAATGTCACAAATCACTCTCAAATGGGGGCGCATGCACTTCGCACTTTTAGGCTGCGCGGCTGCCCTCAAGTTGCAAACGTGGCCTCGGCGGACAAGGCTTGCTCAGACAAAGATGACACCCTTTAGGATCATAGCAACAAAGCAATCTCTAGAAAGGAGATTGCTTCAGAACAACACTTCAGGTTGGGTGCCGCATTATGCAGGGGGCCCAAAAAAGGGCCCCTAATTTACAGAACTACCCATACGACGGGTCTCGTGTACAGCGTATGCCCTGTGCTTTGAGGATACCAAAACAGCCAGACATCACGAGTGTTTAAGTGTACCGAACTCCTCGGTAGACCCCGAACAGCTTTGCCACCCAGCCCCGTATTGTAAACCCTAAACCGGTTTATGGTTTCGGGTTTAGGGATTAGGGTTTAGGGTTTAGGGTCAAACCTGGACCCCCCCAAAAAACAAAACCCAAAACCCGGTAAGTTCTGTGAGGAAAGGCCCGGCCTCTACGCGGTCCGCGTGTAGTCGCCTCCAGGCTCTCAATGCCAAG